CCGCCTCCACGGCCACTTCAAGGTGCTCCACCTCAACTCGAGTGACCGAGGTCTCAATTCCAAGGTTTCCCGCTCCGTCTTCACCTGCCTTCGGCAGCGCAGCAGATCCCCTTCCCGTTGCGACATCCTGCACCTGCTGGTACCAACGATGCCTCGGCGCTTGGGCCAAAAATTGTACTCCGCCCTGCTAGTACCACGGGCAGATAACTGACGCAGCATACATCACCGGTGGCACATATCTGCGCTAAGACGACAGGCCGCCTCTTCATAATGGACAAAGTCAGCTAACGGCAGTTCCTGTTCGACACGGGTTCGGACCTATGCGTGTACCTCCGCAATCACGTCCCTCAACGCAAGGAACGTTCCAACTATGACCTGTGTGTGGCTAACGGCACCACCATCCACACCTACGGACAGCTGCCTCTCAGCCTCAACTTGGCCCTACGCCGAGATTTCTCTTGGCGGCTTGTGGTGGCCGACTCATGCATCCCATCATCGGTGTGCCCAGGCTGTGCAGCATTCAGCTTTTACGTATAACCGCCCACAACCCAACAGCAAACGGACACGTGAAACGCTTCCGCCGGACACTGAAGGCAGCCATCATGTGCCACGCTGACCAACAGTGAACCGAGGTGCTTACCCTGGTTTTCCACGGAATACGCACTGCATTCGAGGAGGACCTGCAAGCATCTGTAGTTGAGCTCGTGTACGGCGAACCTTTAAGAATCCCCGGCGAGCTACTAACTCCAGCTACCGACCCCACGGTTCCAGCGCACCTCACCACAGATGTCCGCCAGCACATGCCCCGCCACCGACCAGTCCCAATCGCACGCCACGCCTCCCCATATTCTTTCGTGAACAGTGACCTCGAGAAGAGAACCCACGTTTTTCTTCGACAAGGTTCAACACGCCGGACACCTTCTGTGTCATTCTGTTATGAATACAGAGACTGAACATCGCGTGCATCTCTGAGGAATCGCGAAAATTATATACTAATTGAGAAGAGGGAATAGTTATGTAAGGCAATCCTTGGTCATTCAGGAATTATATATGGAACTCTTCCCTAGGCTGAAACCAGTGAATTAAATGTGATGGAGTTAAATGAAGATGTGGGCTCCTCAATTGTTGTGCCAGATCTCTTCCTTTCATAATTGAATTTTTTTTCCACTTTATGACTTCTTAATTTTATGTAGACAGAGAGCTGTCCCGATGCTGTCCATACATTTCAACAAATTGTTGGCATTTCCACCGACAGAAATCTTAAATAACGTTAACATATATTATTATAAAATACTGTATAGTGTATACTTATTTGATGTAAACCGCTGCCAAAAATAATAAAGGAGTTTTGTGCAACAAAGGTTAACATGTTTTTTAAGATTTCATTTGGCTGTTGAAACGGACAAGTCATAAATATATATGATTGATATTAAGTCAGTCACATACTGGATTCAATCATTGAATCATCCCCATATGCACTAACTAACGTAGTTTGGTCAGTGCTTATTCTGCTTCAAGTGTGGGAGCTTTCAGATGTTCATTTTGAAAATGAACTGTGGGTACGTTGTTTTCACTTTAGGTCAACCTCTTGTATTAGCGTATTTACTTGTCATTCTATCATCATAATTTTTAATGGTATGAGGTGTCATGTGTATTGGTCTCTTGACATGTAGCAGTTATATTTAACAAATTTATCTGTCACTGAGCAATTTTGATCTCAGGGTATTTATGTTTAAGTTGCTGTTGAGTGTCATATGAATGTATTGCATTATTAAAATGCAATGAGCACAGCACACCACACCACCAGTGAATCGAAATAAGGCATGTGTTCTTTAGTTGTGACAAGAGTGTAAATAGTGAGCTTTCTTTATTCCCTTCTTCATATTATTGATATTTGTGCTAACAGTAGCTGTTTAGAAGACAACAAAATATTCAGAAAGAATATTCCAATTTTGATTTTCTTATAGTTACTGAGAGAATTTGGGAACTGCTACGCCTTTTGTATTCGCCGTAAGTAGCATATGTCATAATGGGTCATTGCATCAATATGTGTTTAATTATATCTAATTAAGTCTTCATTTTTTCTCATTTCATGCATCCTGTTGTCTTAAAATATACAACCTCTTTAATTACCGTTACGTCACAACAAGGCACTGACCTTGATATTTGTGTTGTGACGGTTAATAAAGAGGTTGTACAAAGTCTTCAGTGTTAGGATCATTCACTCAGCCTGGTTGTTAAAAATTTTCAGTAGTTTTGAGCCTTTATATTTTTACATTTATTCTCCTCCTTATATATTTTCTGGCCTCCCATGCATGTTCCACTGTAATATAGATTATGCAATCCAAATTTTTATGAACTATATTAATAAAAACTATTATGTTTTAACTGGATCTTATTCTGCACCATCACCTTCAAAGTAGTACACTAGTGAGGGCATACACCAATCAAAGCTTTTCTGCAACTCTTGAAATGCATCCTCGAAATCTTTCTTTGTTAGGGTATATAGTACCGTTTGCATTTCCGTTTGAAGTTCCTCAACTGTAACAAATCTTCGCCCCTTCAACTTGATTCTGATCTAGGGGCAGAGAAAGAATACAGATGGAGCTATGTCTTGCGTGTACTGTGGGTTGGGAACAATTGCCAACATTTTTTAAGATAAAATTTCCTGCACAATATAAACTGTATGCAGTCATACATAATCAGCTTGGAGTACCCAGTTATTCGTGCGCCACGTCTATGGACGTTTGAGGCTGGCGGACACCGTGACCCTTAATTTCAACAATGAAATGTCTACGGCTCCGGTGTTCTTGGACATCGAAAAAGCATTTAATACGAGGCACTCGGGATTTCCGTGTAAGTTATCAAAGTTGGAATTCTCGAACAGTTTGACGAAAATTAATTGGTCTTTTCTTTCAAAACGTAAAATCAGTGTCTCAATTAAGTGTTGTAGACGCAAATACTAAGATAGAATATTAGTGTGACATGTTGACCCCCCCCCCAGCGGCACGTGGCGTGAACGTAACGCTCGCGTTACTACGGTAATAGGCGAGTTCCCGCCCCGCCACTCCCCTCCGCGGTGACGTCACCGAGGGATATCGCGGTCGCTAGGCAACGCGAGTCAACAGCGGCGACGTTACGATAGTAACAGCGGTTACCTCCGCTAGCGTTACATAGCAACACAGCGCCAGGCAAAAAGGGTGCCTATTACGCGGCCGTTTTCCGTATGGTCCGATCGAGGCTACATGAGGCGCAGCGAAGGCTATTCACAGTCAGTTGTACTGAGACAGTCAGTGAGTCCTGGAGCTACCGCCGCGTTAGCCGGCAACTGGTCAGTTGTATTGTGGCTTTTTTCAGTGTACTATTTGTGATACTGCAGATAGCAGTAATCGTAAATCTGTAATTTGTGTGATTGTATGAGCGAGTGTGAAATAAAATTCGCTA